TCATTTCCCCCCCACCCCCCCTGGGCCCTGTGGGTGCCCCCAAACGGGAAAATAACCACACGGGGGAAAAAATGAAAAAAATATTCTTTTTAAATATCTCTATATTAAACCCTGTTGACTTAGTTTTGATTTGCGAAATCAAAACCCATTTTCATTTACATATTGAATTTTTTTGGGAAAGAAGTATGGAATAAAAAAAATGGGGGGGGGGGAAAAGGGTTCCATATTTTAAACGGGGCCCTCAGTGCACCGGGCGGCTTGAAATAAACCCCCAAAAAAAAACAAAAATAAAAAAAATCCAAAGTAGGAAAATTTATAATTTCACCCTGTTTAAAAAGAAAATTGCTCCTCTTTTTACAATTTTTACTGTGGGGAGTTTTGGGGGGGCCCCCCCCGAAGAAGAAAATTTCCTGTTTACACCGTCCCGCTGGGGATGGGAGCAACTGTCTGGCAAGTTTTCAGGCGCACCCCCGGAGGTACAACAGAATTGGTTTAGGAAAAACCCTCTAAAAAAAGGACCCTTTTGCTATCGAAATAACCCCCGAGCCAACCCCCCCTCCCTTTTCCCACCCCCTCCAAGAGGGCAGGCCCAGTGGGGGGCCCAATTTCCCCCCTCTCCCCCAGCCCTCCAAGACCGGGCCCCCAGGGGGGGGGGGGGGACATACATTTAAGCCCCTAGGAGCTTTATTAATAAAGAGCTTTAGAGACCAAAAAAAAAGTACCAGGCTGAGCCCAAAATTTGGCACCCTTTTTCCCTATTTAATTGCCCTACTTTGACCAGACCCCTATGGGATTCCCAATGGGCCCCGGGTCAAAAGTATCCCCACATATGGGGGAATAGGCTCCCCTTTAGGACATATCCCCAGCCCTCATCACCCTAAACTATTCCAAAAAGGGGGCCCAAAATCATTTTTTTAACTCAGGAAAGGCAAAAACCGCCAGGTTTTAGAAGTAGGGTTTGAAAAAAAAATGGCCCCTTTTCCCTTTTATAGTGCATATCTTGCCCGGGGCCCATGACCCTTTGGCCCAAAAGGGTGGGGGAAATATGGGGGGAAATAAGGGGCCCTTTTGGGAAAAATTTATTTTGTCTAAACTGCCAAATCCAAATTTTTTTCCTCAAGGAAATTGATAAAAAAAAAAAAAAAGGAAAAAAAAACGGAAAAAGGTAACAAAAAAAAAAGCTTTGCCCCCCAAAAATTTTGGGGATGGGCCCCCATAAAAGGGGCCTCAAAAATCCCCCAAAAAGGGTTTTTGGGGGTAAACCCCCCTTTTGGGGGGTCAAAAAAAAACCCCCGGGGCCCGGGGGGGGCCCACTCCCCCCCCCCCCCCCCCCCCCCCCCTTTTTTTTTTTTTTTTTTTTTTAGGTCCCCAGTTAAAAAAATCCTTTGGGGAAACAAACTTTTTTTAACCCCGGCGGAGGACCATTTTGGGTGGGACGAAAAGGGCCCCACCAAAGGTTTTTGACCGGGGATGGGCCCGGAAAAAAGTAGGCCCTAGAGGGAAAAGGGGCCATTTGGGACATCGATTTGGACCCCAAAAAAATCCAAAAATTTAAAACTTTAGAAAGTTGGGGGGGCCCATCCCTATCACCCTAGAGGGGGGGGGGGAAAAAAGGGGCCCAGGGGGAAAAAGAGAGAGCGCAAGGGAAGGAGCCAAAAGGCCCCGGCAAAAGGGGACGGCGGCCCAGGAAAAGGGCCCGGGAGAGGAAAAGGAGGCAAAAAAAGGAAAGAAACAGACAGAAGGGAAAAAGAGAAGGAAAGGCAGGAGGGGAAAGAGAGAGGGAAAGGCGAAGGAAGAAGGAAAGGGGAAAAGAGGAAGAGGGAAAAGGGGTTTTGGGGGAAAGAAGTGGAGAAAAAAGGGAAAGAGAGAGGAAAAGAGGGGGGAAAGGGAGGAAGGGAGGAGAAGAAAAGAAGGGGGGAGAAAAAGGGAGAGGAAAAGAAGAGGAGGAGGAAGAGAGGAAGAGGGAGAAGAGAGGAGAGAGAGAGAGAGGAGAAGGAAAAGAAAAGGAGAGAGAAGAAGAAGAATGGAGAGGAAAAGAGAGAAGAAAGGAGGGGGAAAGGAGAAAAGAAAGGGAGAAAGGATGAGGAAGAGGGAGAAGAGAGAGAGAAAGAGGAGAAGAGCAGAGGAAGGGGAAAAGAGAGAAGGGGAAAGAGAAAGGAGAAAGAGAGAGAGAGGGGAAAGGGAGAAGGGGAGAGAGAGAGAGGAGAGGAGGAGAGAGAGAGGGGGGGGAGAGAGAGAGGGAGAGAGGAGGGAAGGAGAAGGGGGAGGAGGAGAGAGAAAGAGAGAAGAAAAGGAGAAGAGAGAGGGGAGAGAGGGGAAGGAGAGAGAGAAAGGGGGGTTGTTCGGAAAGGGTTATGGCTTCCCTTCTCTCACCGTCGATTCTCTTTCTCTCCTTTTCCCTCCTTCCCTCCCCCCCCCCCCTCCCCCTTGCCCATCCCAGGTTTAAACCGGAAGTCCAAACGTTCAGTCAGTCAGTAGCATCAGTCGTCGTCAGTTGGAAGGGTCCTTTTACACCCCTCTGTTGGGGGCCCAAACATGACAGCCATGGTCATGGACAGATTGATACTCACTGTGAGTTCTGGCTGTAGAGAGAGGGGTTGGTGAGGATTGGTGGTATGTAGCCCCATTCCTCTCCATGGACACAAACCCAACCCTGGTGTGTTACAATCCGTAGTGTTATCGACCCTGACTACACTCAGCCACAGTCAAACACAGGCTACGATGAGACCTTTGGGGAATAGCCTTTGGGGGGACGGATTTCCTGAAAACTATTGTGATTTCAAAACCAAAAAAGAGGGGTTCTTATGTCTTTATGTGTTGGTTGGTTAAGCTAGAAGGAACCCCCGATGCATCCCTGGGTAATCCACTGCCACAGGGCCCCGAGCGTGTAATTCCATGGTGTATCAGGACAGGGCAGAGCGCTGTACATTCCATGGTGTATCCACTGCCACAGGGGAGGGCAGAGCGCGTACATCCCTGGGGATCCTGACGGCGGCGCTGTCATTCCTGGGATCCCCAAAAAGGGAAGGAGGCTGTAATTCCTGGGATCCACGGGGACAGGGCAGAGCGCTGTACATTCCGTGGTGTATCCACTGCCACAGGGCGAGGCGACATTTGGGTATCCATGCCACAGGGCAGAGCTGTAATTCCTGGCGGCCACTGGCACAGGGCAGAGCGTGTACATTCCATGGCGTATCCACTGGCACAGGGCAGAGCGCTGTACATTCCGTGGTGTATCCCCGCCCAGGGAAAAAGCGCTGTACATTTTCCGGTGTTTTTTATCCACGCCAAGGGCAGAGCGCTGTACATTTTCCCTGGGGTTTCCCTGGCAAGGGCAGAGCGTGTAATTCCTGGGATCCCCTGCCCCAGGGGGAGCGGAATTCCTGGTGTATCCACTGGCACAGGGCCCCGGCGCTGTAATCCATGGTGTACCCCCTGCCAAGGGCGAGCGCTGACTTCCTGGGTACCATGCCCCAGGCCCCGAGCGCTGTACATTATGGGGTATCCAGCCAACCCGGAGAGCGGTAATTCCCTGGTGATCCACTGCCCCAAGGGGGGGAGCGTGTACATTCCCTGGGTATCCATGCACAGGGCAGAGCGCTTACATTTTGGGGTATCCAGGCAAAGGGCAGAGCGCTGTACTTTCCCTGGGTTATCCCCGCCAAAGGGCCCGACGGCTGTAAAATTCCCTTTGGGTTATCCCCCTGCCCAGGGGACGCTGCATTCCGGGGGACCAATGGCACAGGCAGGCGGTACATTCCATTGGGGGTATCCATGCCACAGGGCCGAGCGCGTACATTCCTGGTGTATCCCCGCACAGGGCAAGCGTGTACATTCCCGGTTCATTTAAGTCGGTCCATCTGTTCTCAACAAGGCAGGGTGTTTTTTAAGTTTTTATTTGTATTTTTTTTTAGTTTGCAATGTCTTATGGGGCTACAGTTAGATTTTTTTATAAAATTTTTCAAATCCCTGTGGGAAAAAAAAACCCCCTCGTTTTAACGCCATTTCCAAATGGCTCAGGGGCTACCCCAGATACCCGGGTTGACCACCCCAGAAACCATACCCGTGACCCTCCATTTTTAGGGGCGGACCAACGTGACCATCAATCTGGAAGGCCAACCCCGTTGACCATCCCATTCTGAGACAGGACCATAACCAGTTGACCATCCCTTTTTTAGCAGGACCAAAAGTTTACCATCCATTTGAGACGGACCTACCCCGTTCCATCCTTTTGAGGAGGGCCATACCAGTTGACCATCCATTCTGAGACAGGACCATACCAGTTGACCATCCATTCTGAGACAGGACCATACCAGTTGACCATCCATTCTGAGACAGGACCATACCAGTTGACCATCCATTCTGAGACAGGACCATACCAGTTGACCATCCATTCTGAGACAGGACCATACCAGTTGACCATCCATTCTGAGACAGTACAACAATGTGACCACACAGTACAGTGGAGATCCATCACATGCAATACGGTTAACTCAGTCAGTACCCTCCATTGATGTAGGTGATCTGCTCTCCATCTGAAAAGAGTTAACCATATTGGACTTCACATGAGGAAAGCAAACAGGCGTTTGATGTGTCAAAGCCAGTCAGACCCAGCCCTGCGTCTGGGAGTTTGAATATATCCTTGCTAATAAAACAACTGTAATGTATATCGTCTATGTGATAGAGACTGGCTGAAACAGAGAGGCCTTTCTCCATGCTGGCCCACCATATTTACTTTGTACTGGGAGTGTTGTACGGGTCCTAGACTGTACACACACACACACACACACAGACACACACACACGGCACATAGGCACGCACGCATGCACACACACAGACACACACACACGTAGGCAGGCACGCATGCATGCACACACACACACACACTGAGAGTAATGAATCAGATGGTCTGGGCTCCATGTCACCACGGAAGAAAAGGAACATTCAGCAGATGGAGGGATGGAGCGGAGGAGGGGTGGAGGGGAGAGAGGAGAGGAGGAATGGAGCGGAGGAGGGGTGGAGGGGAGAGAGGAGAGGAGGAATGGAGCGGAGGAGGGGTGGGAGGGGAGAGAGGAGAGGAGGAATGGAGCGGAGGAGGGGTGGAGGGGAGAGAGGAGAGGAGGGGTGGAGGGGAGAGAGGAGAGGAGGGATGGAGCGGAGGAGAGGAGGGATGGAGCGGAGGAGGGATGGAGCGGAGGAGGGGTGAAGGGGTAGAGGAAAGGAGGGATGGGGGATGGAGCGGAGGAGAGGAGGAATGGAGCGGAGGAGGAGTGGAGGGAGAGAGGAAAGGAGAGGAGGGGTGGAGTGGAGCGGAGGAGGGGTGGAGGGGTAGAGGAGAGGAAGGATGGAGCGCAGGAGGGGTGGAGGGAGATAGGAGAGGAGAGGAGGGGTGGAGGGAATGTAGTCTCACATTCAGAGGTGAACCCGTTACCCCCTGGCTCTGGCCCTGGACTGCCCCTCATTGTAACCAACACCACTCTCAGACTTTTGTGTCTCCTCTGAGCCCTCTGTGAGAGCCAGTTTCACAGAAACATTAGCGTTAGAGAGGCAACTGGCCACTGGGACTTGTGCCATTGTGGATCCGATGGCTTAGTTAATTGGAGCTTTGTGCTGGCAACAACACCACAGTTGAGGGTTTGCCACATACTGTATAATGTGTTACGTGTAAAGCTCCTCTCTAGGCCCCACTACTGAAAACCCTATTATCATGGCATTATGGTGAGCGATAGCGGCGTCCGTTAGGTTAACTGTCTTCTAGCTGTGTTGACCTTCTCCTCCTGTTAGTTAGCTTTGAAAAGACTAAGCCCAGGATGAAATTCAAGTCACAGTGCACTATAACTGACTTAAAAAATTAAATAAAAATCGATTGATCTGCAGCGTTTATCGTGAATACGATCTCCACAAACACGCAAACATTGCTATTAAAAGCTGCATTGTGGACAGCCCTCCAAACATTGCTATTAAAAGCTGCATTGTGGACAGCCCTCCAAACATTGCTATTAAAAGCTGCATTGTGGACAGCCCTCCAAACATTGCTATTAAAAGCTGCATTGTGGACAGCCCTCCAAACATTGCTATTAAAAGCTGCATTGTGGTCAGCCCTCCAAGGTTTGAATCTTTCTACCAGGCCACAGCAGAGAAGAACAGGGCGAGGTTAAGATGGGTTAGACCAGACTAGACCAGAGAAGAACAGGGCGAGGTTAAGATGGGTTAGACCAGACTAGGTGAGAGAAGAACAGGGCGAGGTTAAAGATGGGTTAGACCAGACTAGACCAGAGAAGAACAGGGCGAGGTTAAGATGGGTTAGACCAGACTAGACCAGAGAAGAACAGGGCGAGGTTAAGAGAAGAACAGGGCGAGGTTAAGATGGGTTAGACCAGACTAGGTGAGAGAAGAACAGGGCGAGGTTAAAGATGGGTTAGACCAGACTAGACCAGAGAAGAACAGGGCGAGGTTAAGATGGGTTAGACCAGACTAGATGAGAGCAGAGCAAGGTTAAGATGGGTTAGACCAGACTAGATGAGAGCAGAGCAAGGTTAAGATGGGTTAGACCAGACTAGATGAGAGCAGAGCAAGGTTAAGATGGGTTAGACCAGACTAGATGAGAGCAGAGCAAGGTTAAGATGGGTTAGACCAGACTACTAGAGGGTTAGTTAATCCTACTGAGCATCGGACTGTTTCATTGTGTTCACATTGATTTCACTCTAACTGCTCATCAATTAAAGACATTAGTTGTGTGCTAAGGGAGGACTGGATTTGTAAACACAGTACATCTGTCTGTCTGTCTGTCTGTCTGTCTGTCTGTCTGTCTGTCTGTCTGTCTGTCTGTCTGTCTTGTCTGTCTCTCTGTCTGTACACCGGACCTGCCTACTGCCATTATACGGTTCAAATCACCTTAGGAGAGTATGTGAACCGGATACACGACGTATGCATGCAAGAACACACACACGCGATGCTATCTGCTGTAGCGTGTAGAAGTGGTTGTGTGGGAGAACTGAGACTACCTGAGTGAGACACACACGCAGTGATGGGAGTGACTCAATGACTTTCACAAGGTGCTCTCAGTGTGTGTGTGTGTGTGTGTGTGTGTGTGTGTGTGTGTGTGTTGTGTGTGTGTGTGTGTGTGTGTGTGTGTGGTGTGTGTGTCACTCAGGTAGTCTCAGTTCTCCCACACAAGCACTTCAACACCCTACAGCAGATAGCACAAATAGTTCACAGAGGTGATCTATAGGTTGCAATAGTGTGGCATTTAGACAATCTAGTTTGAGCCTCATATATAACTACAGTGTTATAATCTGTGTGTTTGACCTATCCTATGAAATAAAAATTTTTTTTTGTGGTAGTTTGCCATATAATCTGTGGTTGGACCTTCTATGACACTAACAGTGGTATAATCTGTGTGTTTACTCTTATGAACCACAGTGTTATTATTAATCTGTGTGTTGACATCTATAGGAACTAACCAGTGTTATTAATCCGTGGTGTGTGACCTCTCGATGAACTACAGTTGTTATAACTCTGTGGTGTTGACTACTAATTGAATAACAGTATTATACTCTGGTGTTTGACCTCTCTATGAACTAAACAGGTTATATCTGTGTTTTGACCTCTATACGAACTAAACAGTGTTTATAAATATGTTGGGTTTGCCTTTATTGAAACTAACAGTGTTATGTGTGTGTTGGACCTCTTATGAACGAACGTGTTATAAATTCTGTGTGTTTGACTCCTCTATACGAACTAACAGTGTTTATAATAGGTGTGTTTGACCCTCTCTATACGAAACGGACAAAACAGTTCTATAATCGGTGTGTTGACCGCCTCATAAGAACTACACAGGTTATAATCTGGTGTTTGGACCTCTCTATGAAACTAAACAGTGTAAATATGGGTGTTGACTCTATACGAACTAACGTGTTATAATCTGGTGTTTGACCTCTATAGGAACGAACAGTGTTATAATTGTGTGTGTGACTCTATATGAAAATAAACGTGTTATAATCTGTGTGTTTGACCTCTAGACGACTAACAGTGTTATACTCTGTTGTGTTTGACCCTGCTATACGAACTAACCAGTGTTATAATTGTGTGTTTGAACTCTATACGAACAACGTGTTATAATCTGTGGCTTTGCCCTTATACGAATAACAGTTGTATAATCTATGTGTTTGACCTCTATACGAAACTAAACAGTGTTATAATCGTGTGTTGACCTCTCTATACGAACAACAGTGTTATAATCTGTGTGTTTGACTCTATACGAACTAACAGTTTATAATCTGGTGTTGAATCTTACGAACTAACAGTTGTTTAATCTGTGTGTTTGACCTTATTAACGAACAACTAACAGTGGTTTTAATAATCTGTGTGTTTGACCTCATACGAACTAAAGGGTTATTAATCTGTGTGTTTGACTCTAGTAGCAACTAACAGGTTATACTTCTGTGGGGTTTGACTCTATACGAACTAACAGGTGTTATAATATGTTCTGTTTGACCTCCTAACGAATAAGTGTAAATCTGTGTTTGTTTGAACTCTATCTGAAACTACAGTGTTATAATCTGTGTGTTTTTGACCTCTATACGAACTAACATTGTTATTAATCTGCTGTTGTTTGACCTCTCTATGAATAACCGTGTTATAATAGTGGTTGAACCTCTATATGCAACTACAGTGTTATAATCGTGGGTTGACCTCTATCGAACTAACAGGTTATTATGTGTGTGTGACCTCATACGACCTAACAGTGTTAAATCTGTGTGTTTGACCTCTATAGAACTAACAGTTGTTATAATCTGTGTGTTGACCTCTATACGAACTAACAGTGTATAATCCTGTGTGTTTGACTATATACAAACTAACAGTGTTACAAATGTGTTGTTTGACCCTCTATAACGAATAACAGTGTTATTAATCGGTGTGTTGACATATAGAACTAACAGTGTTATAATCTGTGTGTTGACCTCTCCTATGAAAACTAACAGTGGTTAATCTGTGGTTTGACCTCTATAGGAACTAACCAGTGTTATAATCTGTGTGTTTGACCTTATCTATACGAACTAACAGTGTTATAATCGTGTGCTTTGACCCTCTCTATGAAACTAACAGTGTTTAATCTATGTGGTTTGACTCTATAGAAATAACAGTGTTATATCGTGGTATTGACTCTCTAGGAAATAACGTGTATAATCTGTGTGTTTGACCTCTTATGAACGAACAGTGTTATAATCTGTGTGTGTGACTCTATCACGAAACTACAGTGTATAATCGGTGTCGTTTGACCTCTATACGAACAACAGTGTTATAATCGTGTGTGTTGACTATCATACGAAGTAACAGTGTTTATTAGAATTTGTGTTTGACCTCTATTGAATAACAGTGTTATAATCTGTGTGTTTGACCTCTATAGAACAGTGTGTTATCATCTGTGTGTTTACCTTATACGAATTACCAGTGGTTATATCTGTGTGTTTGACATCTTAGAACTAACAGAATGTTTAATCTATGTTGTGTTTGACCTCATTCCGAACTAACAGTGTTATAAATATGTGGTTTGACCTATACGATAACTAACAGTGTTTAATCTGTGGTGTTTGCACCCTCGTATATGACTAACAGTGTGTCTAATCTGTGTGTTGGAATCTATACGAATAACAGGTTATAATCTGTGGTTGACCTCTATACGAATCTAACAGTGTGCTATAATCTGTGGTTTTCGACCTCTAACGAATAACAGTGTTTTAATCTATGTGTTTGACCTCTATAAGAACTAACAGGGTTCTATACTATGTGTGTTTTGACCTCTATAGAACAAACAGGTTATAATCTGTGTGTTTGACCTCTACTTACGAACTAAAACAGGTTATAATCATGTGGTGGTTGACCCGATAGAACTAACAGTGTCTAATCTGTGTGTTTGACCTCTCTATGAACTAACAGTGTTATAATCTGTGTGTTTGACCTCTCTACGAACTAACAGTGTTATAATCTGTGTTGTTGGGAACCTCTCTCAGGAACTAACAGTGTTAGAATTGTGGTTGACCTTATATATGAACTAACAGTGTTATAATCTGTGTGTTTGACCTCTCTATGAACTAACAGTGTTATAATCTGTGTGTTTGACCTCTATATGAACTAACAGTGTTATAATCTGTGTGTTTGACCTCTATACGAACTAACAGTGTTATAATCTGTGTGTTTGACCTCTATATGAACTACCAGTGTTATAATCTGTGTGTTTGACCTCTATACGAACTAACAGTGTTATAATCTGTGTGTTTGACCTCTATACGAACTAACAGTGTTATAATCTGTGTGTTTGACACTCTCTTACGAAAACTAACAGTGGTTATCTGTGTGTTTAGACCCTCTATACGAACTAACAGGTATAATCTGTATGTTTTGCCTCTATATTGAAATAACAGTGTTATAATCTGTTGTGTTTGACCTCTCACGAACTAACAGTGTTATAATCTGTGTTCCAAATGGCACTCTATTCCCTATAAAGTGCACTACTACAAAAGTAGTGCACTAGATAGGTAATTGGGTTCCATTTGGGAAGCAGACTGTCTCACCTGGCTACTGACTATGAATGAGGGCGTTTACATAAGAGCAGCTACTGTGACATAATGGGGAGTTAGGGCCTGAGGGAGTTGCGAGCAATGTACACACACACACACACACACACCAACACAAACACACACACACACACACACACACAAACACACACCACACACACACACAACACAGTACGTACGCATGGACACAAACACACACAGACAACACACACAACACACACACACCACACACACACACAACACACACACACACAACCCACAACAACAGTACGGAAGAATGGCCACCCACACACACATACACCACACACACGCACGCATGGACCACACACAATACCACACACACACACACACACGCACACCCCACATCTACACACACGAACAAACACAACACACCACACAACAACCACACACATACAATACAACACATACACACACCAAGTACGCATGGACACACACACACACACACATACCGCACACACACATGGAAAAACACAGACACAAACACCACACACACAAACACACGCATGCATGGACACACACACACATACACACACACACACATACACAGGTTTGATGTAACAGCCTCACAGTAGAAACTGGGTCAATGTGTTCATTCTAAGACTGCCCTGAATGAAAGCTTCCCAGATTACCATTGGCACTCCCATTACCAGTAAGTATGTGTGCCTGTGTGTGCCTGTGTGTGCCTGTGTGTGTGTGTGTGTGTGCCTGTGTGTGTGTGTGTGGCATAGCTCCAGAGAACGACCACTTATCAGGAAGTTGAGAAGTCATCAAGGAGCACTGTGCCCTAACGACCAGGAACACGCACACAGAGGTCACACAACGCAAAAGACGTGGGTCTGGAAGAAGTATTTGTTTTCATATTTTGGAATATGTCAGTTGTAGACTAGGGTTTTGTTAGCAGATCTAGCATCATGATATCAAGTGTGTAGACTAGGGGTTATGTTAGAAGCATCTCGCATCATGAATCAGTTGTGCTGTGGGTTGTTGCAGCATCAGCATCATGAATCAGTTGGCCTGTGTGTTAGCACATCAGCATCAGAATCAGTTGTAGACTGTGGGTGTTAACAGCATCTAGCATCATGAATCAGTTGTAGACTGTGGGTGTTAGCAGCATCTAGCATCATGAATCAGTTGTAGACTATGGGTGTTAGCAGCATCTAGCATCATGAATCAGTTGTAGATGTGGGTGTTAGCAGCATCTAGCATCATGAATCAGTTGTAGACTATGGGTGTTAGCAGCATCTAGCATCATGAATCAGTTGTAGAATGTGGGTGTTAGCAGCATCTAGCATCATGAATCAGTTGGAGATGGGGTTGGGTAAAAGCATTCTGCATCATGAATCAGTTGTAGACTGTGGGTGTTAGCAGCATCTAGCATCATGAATCAGTTGTAGACTGTGGGTGTTAGCAGCATCTAGCATCATGAATCAGTTGTAGACTGTGGGTGTTAACAGCATCTAGCATCATTAATCAGTTGTAGACTATGGGTGTTAACAGCATCTAGCATCATGAATCAGTTGTAGATGTGGGTGTTAACAGCATCTAGCATCATGAATCAGTTGTAGACTGTGGGTGTTAACAGCATCTAGCATCATGAATCAGTTGTAGACTATGGGTGTAAGCAGCATTGCGTGCCTCATGTTAGTTTTGTTTGTCCTGGAACAATCAGCCCACTTGACTGTATGTTCGTCCCAAATGCCACCATATTCCCTGATAGTGAACTCTTGCACCAGGGCCGTCCCTACGTAGTGCACTACACAGGGAATAGGGTGCCATTTGGGACAGAGTCTGTGGCTTCCCTCATTGTTCCCTCGTTAAGGACAAAGAGCTGTTCTCAAAGCTTCTCTCTCCACAGCACCGTTCTGTTTCTACCAGACTGACCAGGAAAACAACCCCTGCGTGTGTGTGACCTGTGTGCGTACGTGTGTGCTTTCATGCCTGTATGTGTGTGTGTGTGTGTGTGTGTGTGTGTGTTCTTGTCTTGTTACAAACAGCAGTACAATCCGGACTGCCTTATGGTAGAAGGTGGTGACTAGTCTCTGTAAGTACAGGGGGGGTGGGGGGGTCGGTGGGTGGGGGTGGGGGGGGGTGTGGGGGGGGGGGGGGGGGGGGGGGGGGTGAGGGGGTGGGGGGGTTGGGGGAGGGGGGGCGGGGGGGGGGGGGGGGGGTGGGGCGTGCTGTTGGGGTGTGGGGGGGGGGGGGGGGGGGGGGGGGGGGGGGGTGGGGGGGTGGGGGGGGGGGTGGGGTGGGGGGGTAGGGGGCGGGGGGGGGGGAGGGGGGTGGGGGGGGGGTGGGGGGTGCGGGGGTGGGGGCGGGGGGGGGGGGGGGGGGGGGGGGGGGGGGGCGGGGGGGGGGGGGGGGGGGGGGGGTGTGGGGGGGGGTGGTGGGGGGGGGGGGGGGGGGGGAGACCTTATGAAGGCGTGACTGGTCTCTGTAATTACAGCAGACCTTATGTAAGGGTGAATAGGTCTCTGTAATTACAGCAGACCTTATGATAAGGGTAACTAGGCTCTGTTTGTAATTACAGGCCCAGACTTATGTAAGGGTAACTAGGATCTGCAATTACAGCGGACTGACTATGTAGGGTGACTAGGTCTGTAATTACAGAAGACCTTATGTAGGGTTAACTAGGTATATGTAATTACAGCAGACCTTATTGTAAGGGGACTAGGTCTTGTAATTACAGCAGACCTTAGTTAGGGTTGACTAGGTCTCGTAATTTACAAGCAGACATAGTTAGGTGACTAGCGTCTCTGTAATTACAGCGGACATTATGTAGGGGGATAGGTCTCTGTAATACAGCAGACCTTAGTAAGGAGTGTAGGTCTCTGTAATTACAGCAGGATTGAACTTTGGAAGGGTGATAGTCTCGTAATTCAGCCAGACCTAGGTAAGGGTGGTAACTAGTATCTGTAATTACAGCAGACATAGAAGGGTGATAGGTCTCTGTAAGTACAGCAGCCTTATGTAGGGTAACTAGGTCTCTGTAATACAGCAGACTATGTAAGGGTGAATAGGTCTCTGTAATTACAGCAGACCTTATGTAAGGGTGACTAGGTCTCTGTAATTACAGCAGACCTTATGTAAGGGTAACTAGGTCTCTGTAATTACAGCAGACCTTATGTAAGGGTAACTAGGTCTCTGTAATTACAGCAGACCTTATGTAAGGGTGACTAGGTCTCTGTAATAAAGCAGACCTGGTACAGGGTAACTAGGCTCTGTAATACAGCAGACTTATGTAAGGGGGACTCGGTCTCTGTATTACAGCAGGACTTTATGTAAGGGGTATGACTAGGTTGGTAATAAGGAAGACCTTATGTAAGGGTAACAGGTCTCTGTTAATTACCGCAGACTGACCTATGTAGGGTGATAGGTCTCTGTAATTACAGCAGAACCTTATGTAGGGGAATAGTTCTCTGTAAGTACAGCAGCCTTATGTAAGGGTGACTAGGTTCTGTAATTACAGCAGGATGCCCTTATTGTAAGGTGAAATAGGTTCTGTAATACAGCGACCTTATGTAAGGGTGACTAGGTCTCTGTAATTACAGCAGACCTTATGTAAGGGAAATGGTCTTTGTAATTAAAGACAGACTTATGTAAGGGTAACTAGTTCCTGTAATGTAGCAGCAGGATCACATAAACATGATTCAGACATTTCCTGCTTGTTGGCTTTTATTGTTAGTTGTTCATAGGCAATAACACTTATGATGTGGGCGGGCTGGAGCCACCGGGTTGTATGGAGGACAGAGATAAGCTGAGTCCCAAATGGCACCCTATTCCTTCTATAGGGCACTACTTCTGTCAAAAGTAGTGCCCTATAGGGAATACGGTGCCATTTGGGACTCAGGCCACAGCGTGTCACAGCAGCATGGTAGAACTGAAGTCCATAGTTCAGCATGTTTCTGTTGCCACCCTCTCCTTTCTCCTCCTCTCCAGAACCAGAGGGAAGTAGTTACAGCCTTTGTGTGGTTGTGTCCTGCTTTGTGGGTGTGTCTGGCCATGTGGGTGTTCCCTCTCTCTTCCCATCGTTGGTTCCAGGTCATGCCACCGACGACACCCGTACTGCCTTGGGTGGGTTTATAGCCATTGTAGCCCCCTCAGGAGAAATTTATCAGAATCAGCCCAACTATGGGACCCCATGTCCCCCAACGCTTTTGGGAAAACCGGGGGGCTAAAGCCTTTATACGGGGCATGCGGGAAACTAGATTGGGGATTCCAGACTGCTGTTTGCGAGTGATATCTGCTAAATAAAGATAGCCAATGCCCCCTTAACGATGGTAAGCTGTTTGTTTTCTAGTGCGTTTCTCATATCCTGGATTCAAAAAACCCCAAAAGATTACCGGCTTTGTCTCACATCCCCGATGTTCAAAAAACCATTCTGTTTAGGGTCCTCAGCATTTCCCCTAACGTCTTCGGGCCATTCTAGCTGTATTGTCAAACTAACGTAGCCCCACTGATACTGTGCCTGTGTGTTGATCCCTGGTTGTTGACATGATATCTCCCCGGTCTCCGTCCATTTGTTAAACCCTTATTTTTGGAGTCAATATCCCACGTCTCCCCCTCCATGTGTTGATCCCTGATGTTTTTGAGTCAGATATCCCAGCCCCCCTCCCACTGGGGATCCCAGTTTTTTGATCATAAACCCCAGCATCCCCCCCACTGTGTTGTACCTATGTATGTTGATCATGATATCTCACGGTCTCCTGCCCACTTTTTTGATACCTAATGTCTGTTGAGCCCATGTTTCCCCCAGCATCCCTCTCCACGGGGAAACCCGATTGTTGACCATAATCCCGCAGCCCCGCCCCACTGTGTTGATACGATTCTGTTGAGTCGATACCCCGCGTTCCCCCACTGTTTGAACCTGATTTTTTTTGATCATGTTTCCCAGCAGTCTCCCTCCCTGTGTGGATACCTGAGTCTGTTGAGTAGGTTTCCCCAAAAGGTCCCCCTCTCCACGTGTGGAACCTGAGTCTGTTGAGTCATATACCCAGCAGTTCCTCCCACGTGTGGTACCTGATGCGTTGGTCGGATATCCCAGCGTCCCTCCCCCACTTGTGGATCCCTAGTTGTTGGTCATGAACCCAGAGTCTCCTCTCCACGTTTGATTATGTCTGTTGAGTCATATATCCCAGCAGTCCCTCTCCCACGTGTGGATACCTGATTCTGTTGAGTCTGATACCCCAGCGTCCCTCTCACTGTGTTATACCTGAGTCTTTTGAGTCGACACCCAGCATCTCCTCCCCTTTTGGGGAAACCCTAGTCTTTGAGTCATATACCCAGCAGTCTCCTCTCCACTGTGTTGATACCTGATGTCTGTTGAGTCATGAATCCCCCAGTCTCCCCCCTTTTGGTTAAAATTTCTGATTCTGTGAGTCGGGATCCCAGCAGTCCCTCCCACTGTGGGGTACCATGTCTTTTGGTCTGAATCCCGTATCTCCTCTCCACTGTTGGATACCTGATGCTGTTGATATGAATCCCACTCTCCCTCCACTGGTTAAACCCTGAGTCTGTTGGTCATGAAATCCCGCAGTCCCTCCCCTGTGGGGATACCTGATGTCGTTGGGTCGATTCCCAGTAGTCCCCCTCCCGTGTTGATACTATGTTGTTAGTCTGATTCCCAGCAGTTCCCCTCCCTGGTTGTACCTGATTTTTTTGAGCATGTATCCCAGCGTTTTCCCTCTCCCTTTTTTGTCCCCGTGTCTGTTGATCTGATTCCTATTTTCCCCCCCACCAGACTCCTCGCGCCAGTCCCCCCTTGAAAGGCTGTTTAAAATTTTGGGGAAGCATGGGATCTTCCCTTTTGGGGTTTGGGTAACTGGGGCTTTTCCAATGACACCCTACCCCTTATGTGCACACTTTTGACCGGGGCCGGGTAGATCTATGCCTATCTAAGAATAGGGTGTTTTTTTTGGGAAGCCCCCCTTGAGGTGAAAAATAAAAATAAAAAAATAATAAAAATAAAAAATAATATAAAAATAAAAATAATAATAATAATAAAAATAATATCCCATTTAGCAGAGTTTTTATCCAAAGGACTTACTCATCTCTAATTTTTGTGTAGGGTGGCCCGGGGGGAAAAAACCCACACCTTCGTTTTACAAGCGGGGCTCACCATTGAGCTAAGAGGATAAAAGTGTAGTTTTGTAATTTATCTCAACATTAAAAACCCCCGCGGTTTTGTGTGCGGGTGAGCCGGTAAAAAGGGGAAAAAACATGGCAGTTGGTTTTTAGTTGGGGGTTGCCGGGGGAGGGGAAAACATGGAGTTGGTTTGAGTTTGGTAAGGGACCAGGGAGAGGGGAAAGACAGTGGCTTTTGGTTTTAGTTGGTAAGTTACCAGGGGGGGAAAAGACAGGGCAGTTGGTTTAGTTTTTGGTTAGCTGGTAGGAGGAGAAGGACAGTGGCAGTTGGTTTGAGTTGGTAGAGTTAGCCAGGGGGAGGAGAAAACGTGGCAGGGGGTTTTAGTTGGAATTACCGGTAGGAGAAAAGACATGGCAGTTGGGTTTTATTGGGAGTTAGCCAGTAGGAGGAGAAAAACGTGGCAGTTGGTTTTGGTTTGGTAGAGTTAGCGGTAAGGGGGGAAAGACATGGCATTTTGGGTTTTATTGGTAGATTTTTGCCTTTGGAGGGAACATTCTAAGACTTTGGGGGGGCTCAGTCTTTGGAATTTTTAGGGCCCTTTCCCCTGACACCCCGGTATGGGGCCAAAAGGCAGGAATCTCAACCCGTCCTGGAGGCAGGGAGCTTGGGCCCAGGGGCCCGGGTGGCAGGGGGCTCTGCCCCGGTCCGGGGTGACAAAAGCTTTGGGCCCGGTTTCCCGGATGGGAGGGGTTGGACCCCGGTTTGGTGGCGGGGCTTGGACCCGGGCCTGGATGGCAGGGGCTTGGGCCAGGTCCTGGTGGGGGGATTTTGGGCCCAGGCCTTTATGGCAGGGATCGGACCCCCAGGGGTTTGGTTGGTTGGTAGGAGTTTTTAAATGGCGAGTACTATTGGTTTTTACAAAAATTCGTTGGGCGACCCTTTTCAAAAGAACTCTGATAAATATTGTTTGGGGTTTAGATGCTTAAGGATTAATTGTCTTTTGTTTTGTGGAATCAGGCGTATAAAATGGTGTGTGACAAAACCCCGACCTTTAAGGCAGGCTGGGGATTGGAGATCCTGGGTTAGCTCTGCCTTGCTTGGGGATTGGAGAGGTCCATGGAGTCTAGCTCTGCCTTGGCTTGGGGATTGGAGAGGGTCCATGGAGTCTAGCTCTGCCTTGCTTGGGGATTGGAGAGGTCCATGGAGTCTAAGCTCTGCCTTGCTTGGGGATTGGAGAGGTCCATGGAGTCTAGCTCTGCCTTGCTTGGGGATTGGAGAGGTCCATGGAGTCTAGCTCTGCCTTGCTTGGGGATTGGAGAGGTCCATGGAGTCTAGCTCTGCCTTGCTTGGGGATTGGAGAGGTCCATGGAGTCTAGCTCTGCCTTGCTTGGGGATTGGAGAGGTCCATGGAGTCTAGCTCTGCCTTGCTTGGGGATTGGAGAGGTCCATGGAGTCTAGCTCTGCCTTGCTTGATCCCTGTAACCTAGTGATGGAGTTGGTAGAGGACCATTTGATCCCAAAACTGAATAAAATAACAATATCCAAGTGTGTTTGTCCCCTTGTATGTCTAGATCAGAAGTCAGTTAAGAGTGTTGTCCCCTTGTATGTCTAGATCAGAAGTCAGTTAAGAGTGTTGTCCCCTTGTATGTCTAGATCAGACGTCAGGTAAGATCAATCAATCAATCAATCAATCAATCAATCAAAATGTATTTGTCACATGCTTCGTAAACAACAGGTGTGGACTAACAGTGAAAAGCTTCCTTATGGGCCGTTCACCAACAATACAGAGAGAAAGAAAATACAGAAATAATAGAAAAGTAAAACACGTAATAATAAAAGTTATAATAAATACACAACGAGTAACGATAACTTGGCTATATACAGTATAAGGGGTACCAGGTAATAACTTGGCTATATACAGTATAAGGGGTACCAGTACTGAGTCAATGTGCAGGGGTACGAGGTAATAACTTGGCTATATACACGGGGTACCAGTACCGAGTCGATGTGCAGGGGTACGAGTTAATGTGCATTGGTACGAGGTAATGTGCATTGGTACGAGTCAATGTACATATAACTAGGAAATACAGTGACAGATAGTAAACAGCAGCAGCAGCGTATGTGATGATTCAAATAAGTGAGTGCAAAAAGGGTCAGTGCAGATAGTCCGGAGGGCTGTTTAACTGACTATTTAACAGTCTTATGGCTTGGGGGTAGAAGCTATTCAGGGTTCTGTTGGTTCCATACTTGGTGCATCGGTACCGCTTGCCGTACGGTACCATCTTTGGCAATTTTTAGGGCCTTCCTCTGACACCGCCTGGTATAGAGGTCCTGGATGGCAGGGAGCTCGGACCCAGTGTTGTACTGGGCCGTACACACTACGCTCTGTAGCGCCTTACGGTCGGATGCCAAGCAATTGCCCTACCAAGCGTTGATGCAGCCAGTCAAGGTGCTCTCAATGGTGCAGCTGTATAACGTTTTATCTGAAGGCCCATGCCCAAATCTTTTCAGCCTCCTGAGGGGGAAGAGGTGTTGTCGTGACCTCACGACTGTGTTGGTGTGTTTGGACCATGATAGATCCTTAGTGATGTGGACACTGAGGATCCTGAAGCACTAGACCCACTCCACTTCAGCCCTGTCGATGTGAATGGGGGCGTGCTCGGCCCTCCGTTTCCTGTAATCCACGATCAGATCCTTTTGTCTTGCTGACGTTGAGGGAGAGTTGTCTTGGCACCACACTGCCAGGTCTCTGACCTCCTCCCCTATAGGGGGAGTCAGCATGGGGGATGTGTTGTTGCCTACCCCTCACCACCTGGGGGAGGCCTGTCAGAAGGTCCAGGATCCAGTTGCAGAGGGAGGTGTTCAGTCCAAGGACGTTAGCTTAGTGATGAGCTTGGAGGGCACTATGGTGTTGAACGTTGAGCTGTAGTCAATGAACAGCATTCTCACGTAGGTGTTCCTTTTGTCCAGGTGGGAAAGGGCAGTGTGGTGTACAATAGAGAATGCTTCATCTGTGGATCTGTTGTGGTGGTATGCGAATTGGAGTGGGTTCAGGGTGTCTGGGATGATGGTGTTGATGTGAGCCATGACCAGCCTTTCAAATCATTTCATAGCTACAGATGTGAGTGCCACGGGCTATAGTCATTTAGACAGGTTACCTTGGCATTCTTGGGCACAGGGACTATGGTGGTCTGTTTGAAATATTAAAGACTGGGTCAGGGAGAGGTTAAAAATGTCAGTGATAACACTTGCCAGCTCGTCAGCGCATGCTCTGAGTACGCATCCTGGTAATCCGTCTGGCCCTGCGGCCTTGTGAATATTAACCTGTTTAAAGATCTTACTCACATCGGCTATGGACAGCGTGATCACACAGTCGTCCGGAACAGCCGGTGCTCTCATGCATGGTTCAGTGTTGCTTGCCTCGATGCGAGCATACCGTAGAAGGCATTTAGCTCGTCTGATAGGCTCGCGTCACTGGGCAGCTCGCGGCTGGGTTTCCCTTTTGTAATCCGTATAGTTTGCAAGCCCTGCCACTCCACCCCCTCCACCCTCCCCCTCCACTATACACTCCTCCCCCTCCCCTATACACTCCACCCCCTGCAGTGTCAGAGCATCAGAGCCGGTGCAGTACGATTCTATTGTTGTCCCGTATTGACTCTTTTCCTGTTTGATGGTTCGTCGGAGGGAGTAGCGGGATTTCTTATTAGCGTCCGGGTTAGTGTCCCGCTCCTTGGAAAAGGCAAGTCTAGCTTTTAGCTTAGTGTGGTGCACATTTTGTCATGGGGGTGCAAAGAACATTTTGCAGTTTTAAAGCAAATTTTCTTGAAATTCTATACACTTTGCAAATTTTTTGGGGGCTAAAAAAACTGACATGGGCTAGTTGATCTGGACATTTCTGACAAGTTATAAATAGCTCTCTAAGGTCTGCAATGACTAACATGACAAGAGGAACTGATGATGCACGACCCAATTTAGAAATTGCACCTTGTGCATTCTACTATTATAACTTTCAAGAGTACGTTTAAAGCTGGATTGAGTTCCTTTAAAAAAGAATAATAATACTGTTGTTGTTGATTTTTTTTTTTTGGGGGGGGAGGGGACCAATGCTGTAGCTTAGCATCCACTTCATCAGACCACTTGTACTTCCTGTTTGAGGTTTTGCTTGTAAGCAAGAGTGTTGTGATGTCAGGTAAGAGTGTTGTGACGCCAGGTAAGAGTGTTGTGACGCCAGGTAAGAGTGTTGTGACGTCAGGTAAGAGTGTTGTGACGCCAGGTAAGAGTGTTGTGACGTCAGGTAAGAGTGTTGTTACGCCAGGTAAGAGTGTTGTGACGTCAGGTAAGAGTGTTGTGACGCCAGGTAAGAGTGTTGTGACGCCAGGTAAGAGTGTATTCGTGGCACCAAATCATATTTTCCACTCCAGGCCACGGAGACAGCATATTATATATGAACTAGGAACCATATTATATATGAACTAGGAACCAAAAGAATGAAAGTCTTTCTTCTTAGTCTGTTATGCTTTGGGTAGCACTCTAAGGACAATATGCCTGGGCCAGTAGTGTTTTCTTTTTGATCATTTAAAGGCTATATTATCACCTGATGGAAAGGAGGTTATTTACTTTATGGCTGAATCCCAAATGGCACCCTATTCACTTATGGAGTGCACTACTTTGGGCGCCTGGTCTTAAAACAGCGCAGTAAATAGGCCATTTAGGATGCAGACTAAGTGTAAGTGCTGAGGAGGAAAAGTAAAGTGGTGTTCTTTTGTTATCTGCCATCTGGTCTCCTGTGTTGGAACAGTTTTATTGGCAACAGAGAGGGGAGGAGGGAGGAAGGGTGGAACGGTGGAGGGATGGGGTGGGGTGAGGGGTGGAGGGGGAGAAGGGGGGATGGAGGGGGGTAGGGGGAGGGTGGAAGGGGGGAGGGGGTGGAGTGTAAGTGGAGGGGGTTGGGGAGTGTATAGTGGAGGGGGGGGTGGTGAGGGGTGTGGATGAGGGGTGTGAGTGGAGAATGGGGGAGGGATGGTAGGGGGTGGAGGTGTATAGTGGAGGGGGAGGTGTGGGAGGGGTGGAGTTGGTGACGTAGGTGGGTGGGGGGGAGGTAGTGGAGGGGGGGAGTGTAGGGTAGTGGAGGGGGGAGGGGGAGGGGTGGCGGTATAGATGGTGGGGGGGGGTTGGAGTGTTGGTGGAGGGGGGTGGGAGTGGACTGGAGGGGGGGGGGTGTATAGTGGAGGGGGAGGGTAGAGGGGGGGGAGTGATAGTGGGGGGGTGGAGTGTATGTAGGGGGGGTGGAGGGGGAGGGGATGAGGGGGTGGAGTGTTAGGGGAGGGGGAGGGTGGAGGGGGGGGGAGTAAGGGAGGGGGGGGGGGGAGTGAAGTGGAGGGGGGGAGGCGTGAGAGGGGGTGGAGTGTATAGTGGAGGGGGGAGGTTAGGGTAGAGGGGGGTGGAGTGGATAGTGGGGGGGGGGAGTGTATAGGGAGGGGGGGTGGAGTGTTAGGGAGGGGGGGAGTGTATAGTGGAGGGGGTGGAGTGTATAGTGGAGGGGGAGTGGGTGAGGGGGGGGGGTATAGTGGAGGGGGGGGTGGAGTGTATAGTGGAGGGGGAGGGTAGAGGGGGTGGAGTGTATAGTGGAGGGGGGAGAGGTGGAGTGTATAGTGGAGGGGGGTGGAGTGTATAGGGAGGGGGAGGGTAGAGGGGGTGGAGTGTATGTGGAGGGGGTGGAGTGGGAGTGGTATAGTGGAGGGGGTGGAGTGTAGTGTATAGTGGAGGGGGGAGGGTTAGATAGGGGGTGGAGTGTATAGTGGGAGGGGGTGGAGTGTATAGTGGAGGGGGTGGAGTGTATAGTGGAGGGGGTGGAGTGTATAGTGGAGGGGGTGGTGGGGGAGTGTATAGTGGAGGGGGTGGGAGTTTATAGTGGAGGGATGGAGTGTATAGTGGAGGGGAGGGTAGAGGGGGTGGAGTGTATAGTGGAGGGGGAGGGTGGCAGGGGGTGGAGTGTATAGTGGAGGGGGTGGAGTTTATAGTGGAGGGGGTGGAGTGATGTAAGTGGAGGGGGAGGGTGGAGGGGGTGGAGTGTATGTGGAGGGGGAGGGGTGGAGGGTGGAGGGGTTGAGTATATAGTGGAGGGGGTGGGGGCGAGTGGTTAGGGAGGGGGGGTGGGAGGTATAGTGGAGGGGGAGGGTTCAGGGGGTGGAGTGTAGAGTGGGAGGGGGGTGGAGTGTGGAGGTTAGTGGGGAGGGGGAGGGTTCAGGGGGTGGAGGTTGTGATAGGGAGGGGGTGGAGTGGTGTAAGTGGAGGGGGAGGAGTGTGGATGGGAGGGGGGTGGAGGGTATAGTGGAGGGGGGGGGAGGGTAGGGGGGTGGAGTGTATGAGGTGGAGGGGGAGGAGTTTTAGTGGAGGGGTGGAGTGATATAGTGGAGGGGGTGGGTGCGAGGGGGGGGGAGTGTATAGTGGAGGGGGAGGGGGCAGGGGGTGGAGTGTATAGTGGAGGGGGTGGAGTGTATAGTGGAGGGGGTGGGTGCAGGGAAGGGTTGGAGTGGAGTGTATAGTGGAGGGGGAGGGGTGCAGGGGGGTGGGGTGTGATGAAGTGGGAGGGGGCGGAGGTGATAAGTGGAGGGGGAGAGGGGGGGGTGGAGTGTATAGTGGAGGGGGGTGGAGTGTATAGTGGAGGGGGTGGAGTGTATAGTGGAGGGGGTGGGTGCAGGGGGGTGGAGTGTATAGTGGAGGGGGAGGGTGCAGGGGGGGTGGGGGAGTGTTATAGTGGAGGGGGAGGGTGCAGGGGGTGGAGTGTATAGTGCAGGGGGAGGGTGGAGGTGGGGTGGAGTGTATAGTGGAGGGGGAGGGTGGAGGGGGTGGAGTTTATAGTGGAGGGGGTGGAGTGTATAGTGGAGGGGGTGGAGTTATAGTGGAGGGGGGGTGGAGTTTATAGTGGAGGGGGGGTGAGGTGGAGTGGAGTGGTGGAGTGTATAGTGGAGGGGGAGGGTGGAGGGGGTGGAGTTTATAGTGGAGGGGGTGGAGTGTAGTGTATAGTGGAGGGGGTGGAGTTATAGTGGAGGGGGTGGAGTTTATAGTGGAGGGAGGGTGGAGAGGGGTGGGGTGGAGGGGTGGTTTTTGGGGGAGGGGGTGGAGTGGATAGTGGTGGGGGTGGAATGTATAGTGGGGGGGAGGGTATAGTGGGGGGGAGGGGGAGGGTGCAGGGGGAGGGGGAGTGTATAGTGGAGGGGGAGGGTGCACGGGGAGGGGGAGGGGGGAGGGGGAGGGTGCAGTTTCTACTGTACCATGTCAGCTGATAGGAGCATGGTGGAACACAGAACTAGGAGTGCTGTTTCAGAGATCATTATCATGTGGGAGTCCAGGGAGCCATTTCCATTGAATTGCACACAGGGATAAGGCTGCCATTGAAAACCACTACTAGAGACAGTTATGAAACTGCTATGGGAAGGTTTATTATGGGAAGTTTTCTAGCTACATCATTCACTAGAGGCCAGTCCGGAAACTACTCATTCCAGCTTTGCAGGACCATATTGCACTTTATCTACACATTTAAATCAGTTGCTATAAAACGTCTACATGCTTATGGTCATAGTTCTACCGCTGTCTGAGTAAGTTTACAAAATATAGTTTTTAGTCTGTCTTTGAGGTAAAGTAAAGGCTTGCAGGACTGTCTGTTCTCTGGGAGTTAACGCGTGTCTTCATGACTGAAAACCCTGTTTCCTCCGATACGAAGACTTCTCAGATAGTGGCCTGTGTGAGGACTGGAACAGAGATAGACGTACACGCCAAGCATCTCCTGGGGCCACGGATGACTTTTGACGGGGACGACATTCTCGCCACTGTCACAAGCTTACATCCCAAATGGCACAAGCTTACACCCTACTCAGGGCACTAGTTTTGACCAGAGCCCTATGGGAAATAGGATGCCATTTGGGTTGCAGAACCCAGTACTCCAGGAAATAGAGATGTTGTGATTACAGTGTATCCATGTTGATTGTTCTGGACGATCCAGTGTGTAGATATGTTATTACATTTTAGTCATTTGGCAGACGCTCTTATCCAGAGCGACTTACAGTTAGTGAGTGCATACATTCTTCATACTGGCCCCCCCGTGGGAATCGAACCCTACACCCTGGCGTTGCAAGCGCCATGCTCTACCAACTGAGCTACAGTTGTAAGATACGTTATGCCTGCTGTTGATCCAGTGTGTTGATACGTTATGCCTGCTGTTGATCCAGTGTGTTGATACGTTATGCCTGCTGTTGATCCAGTGTGTTGATACGTTATGCCTGCTGTTGATCCAGTGTGTTGATACGTTATGTCTGCTGTTGATCCAGTGTGTTGATACGTTATGTCCTGCTGTTGATCAGTGTGTTGAACGTTATGCTGCTGTTGATCCAGTGTGTTGATACGTTATGCTGCTGTTGACCAGTGTGTAGATACGTTATGCCTGCTGTTGATCCAGTGTGTGATACGTTATGTCTGCTGTTGATCCAGTGTGTTGATACGTTATGTCTGCTGTTGATCCAGTGTGTTGATACGTTATGCTGCTGTGATCCAGTGTGTTGATACGTTATGTCCTGCTGTTGTCCAGTGTGTGATACGTTATGCCTGCTGTTTGATCCAGTTGTGTTGATACGTTATGCCTGCTGTTGATCCAGTGTGTTGATACGTTATGCCTGCTGTTGATCCAGTGTGTTGATACGTTATGCCTGCTGTTGATCCAGTGTGTTGATACGTTATGCTGCTGTTGATCCAGTGTGTTGATACGTTATGTCTGCTGTTGATCCAGTGTGTTGATACGTTATGTCTGCTGTTGATCCAGTGTGTTGATACGTTATGTCTGCTGTTGATCCAGTGTGTTGATACGTTATGCCTGCTGTTGATCCAGTGTGTTGATACGTTATGTCTGCTGTTGATCCAGTGTGTTGATACGTTATGTCTGCTGTTGCTGTCTCATTGTCATTAGGTCAACCAGCGTGCCAAGGTCAGGGAGAGGTCAGACGTATAGACTGACAAAGGGAGGGACTCAGAGGCCCTCAGAGAGGATTGGATAGGTAGAAGCAATATGGCAACATTTCCACCTAGCCAATCAGAAGACAAGATTAAGCTATTATTACAATAATGCTGATACCTACCCAGTCCTCTCAAATCCTTGGGGGCCCCTGGCCTAAATGAATGTAGTTGGGGGCCCCTGTCCTAAATGAATGTAGTTGGGGGCCCCTGCCTATAGGCCAGGGGCCCCCAACTACATTCATTTAGGACAGGGGCCCCCAACTACATTCATTTAGGACAGGGGCCCCCAACTACATTCATTTAGGCCAGGGGCCCCCAACTACATTCATTTAGGCCAGGGGCCCCCAACTACATTCATTTAGGGCAGGGGTCCTCAACTATATTCATTTAGGACAGGGGTCCCCAACTACATTCAGCCGCAATCTTTTCTTGAGTGGATGGTCGGGGGGCCGGAACATCATTCAAAATAATTATTAGAGTCCAAACTGACCGCAAGAACCCCAAACAGATATAGTATTTGATAAAAACAGAATCATTTCAAACCTTGATTGCATTGGGATACGATCACGTCTCTCTATTTATGCGTGGAAATAATCACGTCTCTCTCTCTCTCTCTCTCTCTCTCTCTCTCTCTCTCTCTCTCTCTCTCTCGTGTATCTTCCAGGAGAGCGTCCCTTCCCCTGCACCTGGCCTGACTGCAACAAGAAGTTTGCCCGTTCGGATGAGCTGGCCCGCCACTACCGTACTCACACCGGGGAGAAGAAGTTCAGCTGCCCGCTCTGCGACAAGCGCTTCATGCGTAGCGACCACCTGATGAAGCACGCTCGCCGCCACTCCGAGTTCCAGCCCGCCATGTTGAAGCGGCCGTACGGGTGCAGCGGAGGGATGGGCGGAGGAATGGGCGGAGGAATGGGCGGAGGAATGGGCGTGGTCGGGAGTACTACACGCCCCGGATCCCTCAGCGACTACAACAGCCGCTCCGACGCGTCCAGCCCCACCCTTAGCCCCACCCCCAGCCCCGCCCTCAGCCCAGCTAACTCGCCTTAAAGCCCGCCTCCAGCACTTTCAGGCTCTGCCTCCCAACACCCTGATTGATCCACCCACAAGACAAGACACACCCACAGACAGGACAGGACTCTTTCAGTCTGTTTTAGGCCAGGGTTTTACACTGGTGCCCTGTGGAAAGTCTCAGCCCACAACAGCATTGCAATGGAAATAGGCTATTTCAATATTTTTTATCATGATGGTGGTCTTAGAATGGATCCTCTTGAGACCCACCCCAGTCTCACTTGAGTCTTTTTACCATGATGGTGGTGGTAGAAGGGATCCTGTCAAGGAACTTGATGCCCTATCCTTTGTTCTAACGTCTCACCCTAACCTTGACTTCAATGGGACTACGCCCCACCCCACAGCAGCCACTCTGATTCGTTCTTTTGGTCAGTAGGGTCCTCTGATTGGCTCTGGTCCTAATTGGGGCCTCCCCCTATTCCATTTATTGCACAGTTCCGTACCTAGCGAGCCTCCTTTCCAATGCTCTGTCTGCTTGTTGCACTGCACTGTCTTCTACATCATGTACTATACTGCCTATTGTAGAGCAATCCTTTCAACGACTAAGACAAAATAATGCCTTTCTGATGGCAACATTTCCATAGTGTACACATCTACCGTGTGAGCATGGTCTCTTTGAGAAGCCTCGGGCCCATTGCTAATATGGTTTCATTTAGGTTCTGGTTTTTAAAGTTAGCAGAATCAGCCACGAAAGAACACGTAGAAGAGCATATTCAATCATCTAAATACTACAGGACGCTACGTGATTTGAAACGGCCAGGGAGATTTCATCTACGACCTCAGGATTAGAAAACAGTTGATTAGTTTAACTTGAATGCACAATACAAACATCACTTTACTCTGCAATTCAATGCAGGTTGAATCTTCTGCCCTGCTCAGGGAAGGACTTGGTAGCTTGAAAGAATGAACACAATGAAGACACACACACACACACACACACACACACACACACACACACACACACTCACACACACACACACACACACACATGCGTGCACACACACACACACACACACACACACAAAATAGCCTTACACTCAAACAGAATTGCACTCCTTGAATACATTCTGTTTTGGTTTTCACACTGAAAGAAACCATGGAAATAGTCCTTCAAACGAGTTGTTATCTTTGGATTTGAATCGTGATGTCACAAAAGAGAATGAAGCCAGTCCTCGGACTGAACCACTGGAGACTAGAGAGAGAGAGACAAAACATATTTTTCCCTCTTTCACTTTCACTTTCATTTGATCCAAGACCCATATCTCTGACTTGAATCTCTTACGTCAGTTGAACCCATAAAGCCAAACTGTCGCAGTGAGCTGTGTGTGTCAACGCTTAAGACTTCTTCAAAGGGGATGTGAAGGTGAGAGTAGAGACGTGGCTGCTGCGTTGCTTCTTAACCTCATCCAGGGGAGAGGTGTTAGTTCCAACGTAAACATCCGACGCCTAGAACTCAATTCTAGTGTAATTGCGTCAGATGCTCGATTATGTTACGTGCGTCTATCCGTGAGAGATTATTTCCCGTGTCGAACACGTCCAGGTTAGTTTCAACGCAGCTTGTCTGTGGACAAGTAGATGTAATGCTGTACGGGGTCAAAAACAGTTCTCAAACCCTCATCCTCCATGACACTTTAGAAGCAGGTGTGTTACTGTAGGGCTGGAGCAAAAGCCTGCACGCCCAGTAGCTCTCTAGAAGGAGGTTTGGGGTTTGGGCCACCCACCCCTTTGCTCTTATTAGGCTCATCCTCATGATTCACCCCCAGCTACAAACACAAGACGCTCACACGGTGTCCGTGTCGCGTTGACAGACGGAGTGGGGTGCGAGGTGTTATTACAGCGTCTGCCTGTCTCCAGGACAGGAAGACACTAATGACAGGGAGGAGTTCTAGATCATAATCACATGGAGACATGAGGAGGAGGGTAGTTAGGGTAGATTTATAGCCCCGTACAGACATGAGGAGGGTAGTTAGGGTAGATTTATAGCCCCATACAGGCTGGGAGACATGAGGAGGGTAGTTAGGGTAGATTTATAGCCCCATACAGACATGAGGAGGGTAGTTAGGGTAGATTTATAGCCCCATACAGACATGAGGAGGGTAGTTAGGGTAGATTTATAGCCCCATACAGACATGAGGAGGGTAGTTAGGGTAGATTTATAGCCCCATACAGGCTGGGAGACATGAGGAGGGTAGTTAGGGTAGATTTATAGCCCCATACAGGCTGGGAGACATGAGGAGGGTAGTTAGGGTAGATTTGTAGCCCCATACAGGCTGGGAGACATGAGGAGGGTAGTTAGGGTAGATTTATAGCCCCATACAGGCTGGGAGACATGAGGAGGGTAGTTAGGGTAGATTTATAGCCCCATACAGACTGGGAGACATGAGGAGGGTAGTTAGGGTAGATTTATAGCCCCATACAGACATGAGGAGGGTAGTTAGGGTAGATTTATAGCCCCATACAGGCTGGGAGACATGAGGAGGGTAGTTAGGGTAGATTTATAGCCCCGTACAGACATGAGGAGGGTAGTTAGGGTAGATTTATAGCCCCATACAGGCTGGGAGACATGCGGAGGGTAGTTAGGGTAGATTTATAGCCCCATACAGGCTGGGAGACATGAGGAGGGTAGTTAGGGTAGATTTATAGCCCCATACAGGCTGGGAGACATGAGGAGGGTAGTTAGGGTAGATTTATAGCCCCATACAGACATGAGGAGGGTAGTTAGGGTAGATTTATAGCCCCATACAGGCAGAGGGGGTGGGGAGATTATAGCCCATACAGCTGAGGAGGTAGTTAGGGTAGATTTATAGCCCCATACAGGCTGGGAGACATGAGGAGGGTAGTTAGGGTGATTTATAGCCCTCAGACATGAGGAGGTAGTTAGGGTAGATTTATAGCCTACAGGACGAGACAGAGGAGGGTATTAGGGTAGATTTATAGCCCCTATACAGGCTGGGAGACATGAGGAGGGTGTGGGTAATATTAAGCCTACATCATATGGTATATCGTAGATTATAGACTACAGGCCAGACTGAGATACTATGGGAGATTACCCTCAGCTGGCGGTGCATAGATAATACCCATCTACCTTAATCTTCATAAAGTCATGAACACTAGACAAGCATAGGGCAGTATGAAGACGATAAGTCCCTAAGATTCTAAAGGTCACTGAGAAAGCTTGACAAGCATAATGGGAACAGTATAGACAGAGGCATGTTGAGAAATGTCAGTTATTGGTTTAGATTAGTTCAATTTAATCCTGACACTGCACCCTTGAGTTGGCCCAGAGTGACGGTACAGATAATTGACTTAATCACAGGACAGACAGAATGCACAGGACAGGAGTGGACTTAATCACAGGACAGACAGACTGCGCAGGACAGGAGTGGACTTAATCACAGGACAGACAGACTGCACAGGACAGGAGTGGACTTAATCACAGGACAGACAGACTGCGCAGGACAGGAGTGGACTTAATCACAGGACAGACAGACTGCGCAGGACAGGAGTGGACTTAATCACAGGACAGACAGACTGCGCAGGACAGGAGTGGACTTAATCACAGGACAGACAGACTGCACAGGACAGGAATGGACTTAATCACAGGACAGACAGACAGCACAGGACAGGAGTGGACTTAATCACAGGACAGACAGACTGCACAGGACAGGAGTGGACTTAATCACAGGACAGACAGACTGCACAGGACAGGAGTGGACTTAATCACAGGACAGACAGACTGCACAGGACAGGAGTGAGAAAAACTCCAGATGAATGGGAACAGTAAAGCTTGACAGGCATCAAGGGAACAGTAAAGAGACGCATGGCGGGAAACATTACTTATTAGCTGGTCTTAATCTTGATTTAATCTTCAGTTATGTGACGTACAGAAACTTGACTTAGTCACACAGGACAAACAGTGCGGAGGAGAGAAAATCTCCTGGTGAATACAGTGTTAACCACGGTAAAAGCATGCCGTTGGCTGCCCTTAGATTCACTGAGAATTCTTCCCTCAACAGTTGTTCTCATTACCTTGACGACCCGATCTGTCTCTACATGAAGTCACAGCTTTCATACCTAGGCGGTGTCTCCCAAATGGCACCCTATTCCCTATATAGTGCACTACTTTTGACCAGGACCCATAGGTAGTGCACTTTATAGGGAATAGGGTACCATTTAAAGATGTACCTTTTGTGATGTGGCAATGTTTTTATTAGTTACCTACCATTTTTATCAGTACCCTACCCTCCAACTGTTTCTAGCCTGCCTCAGATTCACAAACACACCCAAGGCTTGGTTTATAGCTCTGTGAAGGCCCTTAGATTTCAGTTTGCAGTAAAAAGTGGATTACCTCAACATGTTCTTTACAGCTGTTTTAAAACTATCTCATCGTTGTAAACAGCCTGTAGACCCACTCTCATAAAGACCTGGTTATTTGTACCGTTCCTCTGTGATCGTCCTAGTGAAGATACAGGATGCCTCCCAAACAGCACCCTATTCCCTACGGGCCCTCCGGTCAAAAGTAGTGCACTACATAGGGAATAGGGTGCCAGGTCCCTGGTCAAAAGTAGTGCACTACATAGGGAATAGGTGTGCCGTTTGAGACGTGACCTCGGTGACTCCGGCTGAAAGGCTCTGCAGTGTACCCCGAGTCCCTTTCTTTCTGCTGTCTTGGAACTACCAGCAGTGTTCCAAGCTCTGTTGGCAGCGTTTCCAGTCCAGCCCAGTGAAACGATTCAGGAAAAGTATGAAATATAAGACGGAGCCAGCTTTCAGCTTTCAGCACAGTGCTGCTTATGTCAGTCTACACTCTGTATTAAAGACATACTGTCAATTATGGCCAGGCTAAAATAATGCCTCTAGGTCTAAAATAGTCTGAGGACTTCTCCATGCTTCCTCCCACTCATCTACTGTGCTTTAGCTTCTCAATGAGCTGAGCTGAGGCCCTTGGTTTTGTCCGGGCTGCCCTTACACCGCCTCAG